TTCCACCGCTGGACCAACCGCTCCACGTGCAACAGTCCACCGCATGCACAGTTTCATCACCATCGGCAACCGATTCGGCAGCTTCGCCGCAATCTCTCGCCGGGGATTCGACGTCATGGTCAAGACTTGAAGAGCTCGACCCGTTGACGTTCACAGACTTCCAGTGGATGCCCGTTCCCTCGACCGGACGATTGTCGAAACCGCATTGCAATGTGCTCATGGCACAACTGCGGGACTACTTGCACACTGCAGTACCAGCTCCGTTGATGGACGTCGGAGCAGAGGTTGTCAACCTTCACGCTTACCTCGCGAAGATCGACCGCGAGTTCAAGACGCAACGGTACGACGACATCGACGCACCATTGCTATACGTACGCATTCAGATTGGAGAGGGGACCTGCAGTGCCTTGATCGATTGCGGAGCGTCTCGCAACTACATCAGCCAGGACTTCATGGTGCGCGCCGGCCTTGGCCCACGCGTCCGGAGGAAGTCCCAGCCTACGCAAGTCACGTTGGCGGACGGTCACACGCACAAGTCAATCGACCGGTGCATTGACAACGTCCCAGTGTACTTTGCCCCTCACGCAAGTGAGGCGGTGTCCTTTGACATTCTGGACACCAAATTTGACATGATCTTGGGCATGTCATGGCTGCGAAGCGAGGATCACCCGATGAACTTCTTCCACCGCACCGTTCACATTCGTGATCGGAACGGAGTACGAGTTCCATGCATGGTGCCTCTTCCTCATCCTTCGATCAGCTGCCACGTGGTATCCGCCGCATGCATGCGAGCTTCCATCATCAGAAACGACATCGAGGAGATGGGGGTGTGTCTCCACGCCCTCCCGCCCCATGACGCTTCATCGACGGACTCACCTTCGGATCCAGGCATCACCGAACTTCTCAACGCCTACAGCGACGTGTTCGAGGGCCCGCACGGAGTAGTACCGGATCGACCCATCCGCCACGAAATCATCCTCGAGGACGGGGCCGTACCTCCGCGCGGTTGCATCTACCGAATGAGCGAGGAAGAGTTAAGTGTGCTCCGCGCACAACTTGACGACCTTCCAGAGAAAGGCTGGATTCGGCCTAGCTCATCGCCATACGGTGCTCCTGTTCTCTTCGTCCGGAAGAAGAACAAGGACCTGCGGTTGTGCATCGATTATCGCAAGCTCGACTTGCAGACGATCAGGAACGTCGACCCTCTCCCACGCATCGATGACCTTCTCGAGCGATTGGGTGGCTCCCAGTTCTTCTCTAAGCTGGATCTCAAGTCAGGGTACCACCAACTCGAGATTCGCAAGGAGGATCGCTACAAGACCGCGTTCAAGACACGGTATGGGCATTTCGAATGGCTGGTCATGCCGTTTGGCCTTACGAATGCCCCAGCCACTTTCCAAGCGGCTATGACAACGGAGTTCCGACACATGCTGGATCGGTTTGTACTCATCTACCTCGACGACATCTTGGTGTATAGTCGGAGTTTGGACGAGCATGTGGA